ATAGTATACTATATACCATTGAATATATTATTAATGCTATGTTCAGCTTCTGTAGTATAGATATTTCTATATATTAGGCAAGGACAGAGATGTTAGTACTTTATTAAAATATCACAATCCAATGAAAATGTGAAACAATAATCTCTTTGCACAATAGATTTGGTCACATTTGCTAATGAGGCAATTTTACAGTGGTATTTGCTTCTGAGTAAACATACACAGGATTGAATGGCATAGAAATGAGCTAAACAGTATTTGACGCTTGCAGTTCTCACATTGTTCGACCAGGGTGGTAATTCTCAACAAGGTAGGCAGTTTAGCTTAGTACAGAAAGAAATTAAATTCTCTCATAGCTTGCCATATTGTGGAATCACAAAGCTATTCAGAGTTCTTCAGAAATGAAATGTTTCATTATTTCAAACCACTGAATGCACATGGTTTGCCAAGTTGGTGCCTTATTTCATAAAGCAATAAATATTTTTTTTGATACAGACAGATTGTGTATGTAAGTTTGTGTGACACATTTTCCCAGGATCAATGCTGAGACCTCTGAACTAAAGTAAAATCATCTTTCTAAATGGAATACTAATTTTTGCTAAGCTGCTTTTTGAAGACTAGGCTCTTTTTAAAAACCACAGCTCCATACAATGGATCGAGGGAAACGAAAAGGGAGACTGCAGTTGATGAAATGCAAATGAGGCTTTGCTCAGACAGCTGGCTGCTTTAGGATGACATGTGTGATGAATGGCTCTTAAAACATGAGCAGGCATCAGGCTTCAATTCAGTGTCAGACTGGCAAAAACAGCAGCATTACTGGATGCTTCCTTTAATTAATGCAACATTTCTGCATTAGTCCGGACACTGCCGATAAATGGGAAAGAACTGATATCAGTGGTAATATCAGAAATCTTTCAACCTTGAAGCTGGGATGTGTTAGCCAAAAGCTGCAGTATCGTAAAAGGTTTAATTGTATTTGTAATGTACCAGTGCACCATGACAAAAATGGAAGATAGTGTAGGCAGGCCCCTGGTAAGCCAGTGATAAATGAGTGTGAGTGATTATAAAGCAAAGAGGACTGTGAAAACAGACAAAAGACAAGCAAAAGGAAAAGGTGGGGGACTAAGGATATCAACAGCTACTCTGATGTGTGAAGTAGGTGCAGAGAGAAACCTGGTTATAGTTTCCTGTGGGGATGGAAGCACAAAGCAGCTTAACATAAATCTCTCATCCTAAAGGGATTTCATTGACAAAAGTGAGATTTAGCACCAAAACTGCTTGCCGGTGAACTTCACAGGGAAGAGCCTTTGCCAGGCAGTCATGAGTTAGGAAGCTCAGTAAATCAACTCAGTAAATCAAACACACAAGTCAAGGTTTTCTACTAATTACAGATCAGAACAACAGGTTCTGTGAAAATACACATTATTCATCCATTTTGTGCTTTAAAAGGTCATTTTTGAGTCATGTAGCACTAAATTGTTACGCAAGGTTGCAATGTGACATTTAAAAGTTTCATGCAATATCATCTGACCGCTCTGAAATGTACTCAAAATTCTTTACAGACACTGTTCTTTATAACTTGGGAGGATACTTGTTTATATTAGAAGAATGTCAGCTGGACCCAAAGCTCAAACTGGATTACAAATTTTGTCTAGCATATAGAAATAAGGATCTCCTTCTGAGAAATGTGGTTAGTCTTATAAAAACTCTTTTAGTATCACTCAGATTTCATCATATGCGAGTAACCCTGAGGTACACTTCAAACTTTACTGTAGTTAGAATTCTGTGGTAACTGTATAATAGAAATAACTGTGTGCCAGTAGATATTTAGAGACTATAAATATTCAATCTGATAGCCACAAAGTATTAATGTTTAAAGAGTCAGATGTAGTCATGTATCTGTTCCAAGTTCCCATATATCTGTAAGCATTTCTAAATAATACATTACTTTTTATAAACTGATACATCATTCCCTTCAACACTGAATTCAGGAGTTCAAGAGCCTATCAGCTTTGAAATGAAACAGGGCCACCAAAAAACAAGGTACTGTAATGGTTTCTACCTGCCTAAGACTCCTTAGGTCTTCTTCTTCTTTGGCGATCAATCGTGGCCGAGTAATATTGTCTTCTGTGACTAAGGTCTTAACAGCAAGTCCGTAAGTGACTGTGGAGGCCAATTCTCGATCCCCATGTCCTTCCAGTCTGGGGACAGAGGTTTCTGGGCAGGAGATGATCAGGGTGAAGGTGTATAAGTAGGTAAAAGTATAAAGTTTGTAACTAAAAAGAAAAAGAAAAAAGTTGGAAAAACTGCAAAAAAAAGGAAAGTCTGCCACAAACTTCTGAGTTTATGGAAGACTGATGAAATTTGAGCTGAGAGAGAGAAAATGGCATCTCAAGAAACCAGAAGTAAGGTGCACTGTGAAAGCCACCTAGAATGCTTGTGTGTCAGCTAAAAATCATACCCAGCCACCCCACAAAAGAAAACGAGGGGTAGGGAAAGAAAGGGAATTAGCATGATCATGCCCGTGGCAGTTTAAATATCCAGGATGGGGTGAGGATTGGGAATACGTGCTGTGAAATGAATTCCCCCTGCACAGTATACAGGATTGTTTCAGGATGAAAGGCAAAAAATACATCCTTTCATTTTCTCAAACTCGAGAACTGCATATGCACACAAACACACACATACTCTAAAGCTACAGAATGTTCATGTTGAGTCCCCAGATGTTGTTGGACTATAGCTCCCACCAGCCCCAGCCAGCATGTAGCAATGGTCTGGAATTATGAAAATTGCAGTCCAGCATATGGTGACCAAGGTTGGGAAAGGCTGTTCTGTAGCACAGCAGAGAAAGTTCCTGGAAACAGGAGGGGCGAAAGGGTGTCCTTTAATTCCTGAAACTCTGCCACCTCCAAGACGCCTGAGAAGCACTACAAATTAGAGCTGCGCCAATTGCCAAACCTTCAGAATGTCTTCATTTCAACCATATGAGGAAAGGTGGGGACAAAGTGAAGGTACTTTAGGAAAGGGAAGTGATATGTGTGTAGAATTCTGCTTTTTAAAGGATAATTTTTAAAGGGCTGGTGTGTGTGTGCATGCACGTGCTTGTGCTAACCTTGAAAGTGCAACAAGCGAGCAGAGGGATTCTGCTCCCCACCGCTGCTTTAAAATATGTTTTTAAATGCCTTGTTTGTGATTGCTGCAGCTGGGGCTAGAAAAGATTATAGCTCAAAGTCATTCCTGGAAAGATCATGTGACCATGCGACATATGGTCATATCATGTGACATATGGTCATATCAGAGGTGCTACCAATCTCGAAGCCGGTCTTCAGAGAGTCCTCCTCCACCACTGTGCCTATAAAACTGGAAGCAAAAGGGGGCCACCCCAAAAAACAAGGCAATAGAACTCTAGATTTGTAACATAAAAGAAAAATTTAAAACCAGGTAAGCATTCCTCAAGGGACGCGGGTGGCACTGTGGGTAAAAGCCTCAGCGCCTAGGGCTTGCTGATCGAAAGGTCGGCGGTTCGAATCCCCGCGGCGGGGTGCGCTCCCGCTGCTCGGTCCCAGCGCCTGCCAACCTAGCAGTTCGAAAGCACACCCGGGTGCAAGTAGATAAATAGGGACCGCTTACCAGCGGGAAGGTAAACGGCGTTCCGTGTGCTGCGCTGGCTCGCCAGATGCAGCTTTGTCACGCTGGCCACGTGACCCGGAAGTGTCTGCGGACAGCGCTGGCCCCCGGCCTCTTGAGTGAGATGGGCGCACAACCCCAGAGTCTGTCAAGACTGGCCCGTACGGGCAGGGGTACCTTTACCTTTACCTAAGCATCCCTCAAGGCCTTGCCCTTTACACCACCTTTTCCTAGGGAAATGAGGGAGCCGAGACAGCTGCTACATCCAGCAATGCTCTTCTTAGTACTGGCTAAGAGCCTCCTACCCACCCCACTGCTTATTGTGCTGGCCCTTTGGGCCCTGAAAGAACTGTGGCCAAAAGCAGTGCTTGTGACCTTGCCTGATGCTTTCACAACACTAGGCTGAATTTCACTGCTCTTTTGTGAGAGAAGGCTGAAGATGCAGGTGACTACAGTCAACTCTGGTGGACCTTGGAGTTTGCACGACCATGCTGGGTGCTGACACCACGCTTCCTAGCAAGGACCCATGAGCTTCCAGGCTTACAGAATATTTTTAATACGGTAGTACAGTAGCAATATATTTAATCTTACAACAAAACACAGCACTGTGACATCTGTTGAATTTTCACATATTTGTTTTGTACGCTGCCTGATAAATCTAATCTGATTATTACTAAAAACAAAAAAATCCTTCCAGTAGCACCTTAAAGACCAACTAAGTTAGTTCTTGGTATGAGCTTTCGTATGCATGCACACTTCTTCAGATACTGAAGAAGTGTATCTGAAGAAGTGTGCATGCACACGAAAGCTCATACCAAGAACTAACTTAGTTGGTCTTTAAGGTGCTACTGGAAGGATTTTTTTTGTTTTGACTATGGCAGACCAACACGGCTACCTATCTGTAACTGATTATTACTAGTGCAGCACGATCAAACCTTTGTGGAAGACAACAACCCAAAATTTAACTTCAGCAATACAATACAGGGAAAATGGCCCTAAATACCTCTGCTTTATGGAACACGGGTGGCGCTATGGGTTAAACCACAGAGCCTAGGTTTTGCCGATCAGAAGGTCGGCAGTTCGAATCCCCATGATGGGGTGAGCTCCTGTTGCTCGGTCCCTGCTCCTGCCAACCTAGCAGTTTGAAAGCACGAAGTGCAAGTAGATAAATAGGTACTGCTCCAGCGGGAAGGCAAACGGCGTTTCTGTGCACTGCTCTGGTTTGCCAGAAGCGGCTTAGTCATGCTGGCCACATGACCCAGAAGCTGTATGCCGGCTCCCTCAGCCAATAAAGCGAGATGAGCACCACAACCCCAGAGTCGTCCGCGACTGGACCTAATGGTCAGGGGTCCCTTTACCTTTATCTTTACCTCTGCTTTAACACCTAAAACAGTTAAAGCAACAGTTAAAACTGTGCATAAATAATTCTATTGTCAATAAATTCATGGCATTTCTGCTTTACCCAAAACATAGGGCATTATCCCAACTCCTACATGCCTGTCTTCCTCCTTGTTTTTCTATAGCCAAGAGGAAGGTGTGACGTTTGAAAATCCGTTCCGGGTTTTCTAAGAGTTCTTGTTGTATACCAGAATCAGGAGCAGCTCCATTCCAGGTTTTACTTGGTCACTAGTCATAGAAAGGCCTGGTAGGCCTCAATAAACACACTGAGACTGAAGGTGTGTTAACTTGAAACTGGAGTTTGGTTAAGGTTAGTAAAACTGGGCTCCCCCCCCCTTTTTGCTTTTGTGGGCCTGGGCCCGACTAGAATCTTGAGTGGTGATTCTTTCTTTCTTCTAGTCATGCAGAGCAAAGAATCAAGTTTGGAAACAGCTTCTGAAGTCTCTTCTGGAGAAGGAGTCAGGGTGAGCGCTTGCCTTGAACATTTGTACCAGCATTTCACTGGATCTGTGACAAAAACTATAGCAGCAAAGGTAATGCAAATATTCCCTTCTGAATAGAAAATTAGGACTTGCTTTCCTGGGTATTAGCAGCCGTTTCTCGGATCCCCTCTCTCGCCTATTGGCTAGTACCTGCCACAGGTGAAATGAAGGGGAGAGGCCCAAGCTCCCATGTGTAACAGTTGTGGAAGCAAAATGGGTGAGAGCATGAATTGAAAATGCTCTGTATGTCAGTAAAGGATTTGGGAAATAGAGCTTGAGGGAGGAAGCTCGTGCTAAGGTTAAGAAAGAGAAGGCCAAGGTGGGATGGGCACCTGCCTCACTATTATTACATTATAAACCACCAATTTTCAAGTCAATAATTTTTTCTACTCCTCCTCTTTATATAAGGAACATTTAAGCTCTCCTTACAAAAATGAGATATATAAACTGAAATGGATAGCTTTGTATCTGAATCACTTTACTGTAGCAGTTGATTTTATTTTTATATTTTGAACCCACCGTTACTTCTAGGAGCTCAAGGTGGCATAAATGGTTCTCCTCCTCCATTTTATCCTCATAACAACCCTGTGAGGTAGGTTAGACTGAGATATTATTAGTGGCCTAGGGCAACTCGGCCAAGCTTCATGGCTGAGTGGGGATATGAACCCTGGTATCCTGGGTCCTAGTCAAACCGTCCAACCACCTACACCACATTGGCTTTCAAGAAGAAGCTTTAAAAACACAAGTTGGGGGTTATTTGGATGAAGAATTCACATTTTGAACTTAAGCTTGGCATTTTTCTATAACTGGAAAAGTTATTTCCTGTTGCATATTCTTTTAGTTGGTTTTTGAATATTCAGCTAACCAGACTGACCATGAAAAAGAGAATATAATCCCCACTTCATAATGTACTGTTTGTGAGACATGAGGTAATTGTCCCCTGGCACAGTTAGAACTGTAGCATTCAGAAATCCTAAAACATTCCCTGTGGTCTCCTATGAATATTTGTTGACTTTGCATTCAGGACTAATGGAAGCTAGTCATGGAGAAAGAGTTGTAAATCATTTTGACCAAGCTGACCGAAAGAACGGTGCCAAATTTCAGTGTCAGAGTCTCCAGCACACAATCCATGATAAACAAAAATTGTCTTTAGCAGAGAACAAACAACAATAAGGGTTAGACGGAAGTCATCCAACCACAAAGCTATATACAGATGGCTCAGTTTTCCCTTTAGGAGTCCATAACAGAACATTAGTAATTTATCAGTGTGGGCCCACAATCAAACAACATTAGAGAGGTGTGCTCATCATTCTTCAGTTAAGAGGGGAAAGTTACTAGAAAACACAATCAAGACAGGAATAGTAACAACAAAAAACCCACAAGCTCTGAACCAATGTGCAAAGCAAAATTGAAAATAAAATGTCTCATACACATTCTCAGCTTACTCTCTGTTTACAAAAAATAAATTGTTTAAAGACTCTGTTTTAGCCACTGACTGATATCCCAAGGTCTTTGAGACATCTTGAAGGCTGTGAACATGACCTCTATAACCCAGTCAGTTTATTGTAGGATGTGAGACTGACAAGAGGCTAAGAATCCAATATGGAACATTTCTAGCTGTACTGAAGTGATGTCTCTGCATGGTAGGGAGGTGAGAAAGGAACTGAAAGGTTACAATAAAAAATACAAATACAATAAAAAAATGGCAAAATGCACACTTGCCTGAAGTCTTAGAGATATGGAGTTAAATCTAATATTCCTGCTCCTGAATTGTATGTACTTTAGAATTACGCTATACATTTTCCAAATAGAGATGTATATTAAAAAATAATAATAACAAATACGACTGCTTTAGTTTAATGAAGAATATGTGTCTGCCAGGGGTGGTGCAAATTTATCCATGAGATCTTTTCTAATTCTATGATTGTAATAAGACACTCATATTGAGATTTCACTAACATGGGAAACAGTTTGTTTTTAAGGCTGTTTCCATACTGGGCATTGATTGTGAAATAGCTACAATAACATCTGCACCATGTCATTAACTAAACATCCGCATCTTGTCCCCCCCCCCCGTTCCTTTTAGTTCCCACCACCCCCATAGCTAAGAAATTCTGATTTTTCAAACTTAATGGAATAGCTATGATTTCCTCAAGTATGGATGATCCATTTTGTTGCTATTCTGGTCAGATCATGATCTCTATTGATTGTTCAGCAATCTGATTTTAGGTTGTGATCCAGCCATTTCCTTTTCTATGATCCAGCCCTCCTTTCTAGGAATGAACACTTTCCCTTTAAGTCTTCATTTCCAAATAGCATTGCATTGTGTATCAGTTTCCCCCCTTAAAAAATCTCACAGAGAATCATGATTGGTACTGTAGTGAAGGAGGATTTAATGCCCTCCTCCCACAATAGTCTCAATGCAAATTACCCCCTGTAGCACCCTTTCTGCACTCCTCACTGAGACAAGCCTATCCCAGCAAGCAGCAAAACATGGGATTTGCTGGGAACCTACATATAAAATCCAATATTTGTAGACCTTAATATCATGGTTGTATACTGGATTCTTCTTTTTCTTTGGGGGGCATGTTTCTCATGATTCTATGTGGTCTCACACTCCCCCAATTCAAAATCAGAGACAGACAGGCTGGAGTTAGACTTTGTATTATCATTTTTCGTTTATCAATATATATGTAATCTATTCGTACAGGCATATATAGTTGTACAGGAATGGCATTTGTAAACATATTTTATCCGCTACGCCTGTAACTTGAAATTGAAAAGTAATTATTTTTAAAAAAATCTTTGAGATTGTTTTGAAGGATTTTTAAGTATTTCTGGAAATACCTATTTAAAAAGAGGGCTTTGTGTGCTAATTTTATATAATCGATCAGCCTGAGAACCTAATTGTGACTATAAGCACATTCTTTTAAGTTGTAGACACAGTGAAGATTATTTGAAGGTCAGGATAGGAAAGGGTAGGACCGAAAAACTGCAATGCTCTGAGTGAATTTAGAGATTGGCAGCACCCTTTTCAACAGATGGTGTCCTTTTGTAGATGAGATAGAGGCTCCTTGGGAGCCATTACTCAGGGAACATCAACAAGCCAATTCCTACATCCTTCCTATGCTCCATATTCAGCAGCCTTTGGGGTGCTGCCAATGCTGGAATTTTTAGTCCCACTCAGGACTCAAGTATATCCTACATTCCTTTTGTCTCAGAATAGCAGCAAACTAACATGTTGATTTTTCTTTCTTTTCTAGTAATCATGTCGCCCTTTAAACGTATTGTTTTCGTATTGTTTCGTATTGTTAAGATTTAAAAAAAAATGAAAGGGAAATAAGCAAATAATGGTACAAAAAATGACAGTTTTATAACTACCTGATTGAAAAGAAAATGTATTTCTGGGCAGCTGTGAAACACTACAAAAGCAGTAGCATGCTGTATTGTAGCCAGTCACTTTTATGTTGGATATGGCTTCCAATTCTTGTTATCCTGCCTCTTTCATCAGACAGAATCACATAAGAGCCACCATTCTGAATATAATAAAGATGATATTGCTCTAATTATCTTAAGATTAGGTTCATAGGAAGTAATTGGTGATATATCGGGTTAAGGATGAATGGCTGTTGCTACTGCTGCTACTGAAATTCCTCTTTTAGCTTGTTGCTCTGTAGGAGTCAGATTGGGGCAAATCTAGATGTGACATCAAGGATCCATGACTAGGGCTGGACGATATCAGCTTTTCAACATCGCAGTGTATTGCCAGCCAAACATTGGCGATATATTGAAAAAAGAGAATGCATTGGCCTCTGTCCGTGAGACACCGGGTGAAACTGCCCCAGCTTTTGCCTCGAGACCTGAGGTGGTTTCACCCAGGCTTACAGGCTGGGACAATGCAGCTTGCTTGTGCTGCTCAGCTGGGGGGAGAGAAGGTTTCCCCTCTCCCAGCTGAGACAGCCCCGGTGCTCTCGCCACTCATACAGGAGCAGCAAGAGCAATGGGGCTGCTTTGCGCAGCTCAGCTGGGTGGAGGGAACATCTCCTCCCAGCTGAGACAGTCCTGGTGCTCTCACGTGAGTGGGTGGAGCATCAGGGCTCCTTTAATTGCTCACTGCGGGGAGTGACAACTGCACTCCCCTCAGCTGAGCAGTTTCAGAGAGCCCCCACCCTGCCACCGGCTTACGGGATCCAGCGCTGGGCTGGGGGCTCTTTAACTGCTCAACTTAAGGCAAGGGCAGCTGCACACTCGTTAGCTGAGCAGTTTAAAGATGCAGAGGGAGGAACAAGCTGTATTGGTGCCTTGCTGATACAGCTTGTTTCTCCCTCTCCATCATTTGAGGGCAGAGTAGGATGGTGGTTTCACTCAGCGATATATCGCTGGTGAAACTGCCGCCTCTCCTGAGTCCCTCTGCTAGCAGCAGTCAAGAGTTCCTTCCTCCAGTGGGAGCTTCTAGCAGAGGGACTCAGGAGTGGTGGTGGTTTCACCAGTGATATACCACTGAGTGAAACCGACATCGTGGTCTGCTCCTTATACTGATCCTGGGCGATATATCGATATATTGCTGAGGCCTATCCATGACTGTATTTTCCAATGTATTGTAGTTGCATGCTACCCCAATCTGGGAGAAGTGTGAGATTCCAGGGGTTCTAGGTTCATGTTTCCTTTGGAATGAGATGCAGCAGAGACTGTGGTGTCTTTATGATACACAATTTATTTGCACATATAGACAACCTGAACCTGTGATGGAGGGGTTCACAGCATTAACACCTCAAGACGGTCTTACTTCTCCTATAGCCGCAGCCTTGGATCCTAGCAGAAATCAGCTTTGGCGCTCTCACCCACCCACCCGATCTCGGCGCTACCCACATGACCTATCTCTGTGTTCCTTCCTTCATCCACCCAGCCGATCATGGTGCTACCCGCCAGCCCCATCTCTGCACTGCTTCACTCACTCACCCACCTGATCTTGGCGCTTTCGACCTGCCCCATATCTGTGCTTCTTTTACCTGTTCACCCCCTACCTTCAGTTGCCACCTCCACCGGCACAG